CCCCCCCCGTGAGTGATGACAGCGGGAGGACCAGTGTCGCTCATCCGCAGCCCCGACGACGACGGCGCCCCTGCCATGACACCTGTGCCAGGTGTCCCGAGGGTGCTTTACTCACTCTTATTGCCTCCTTCCTCCTGTGCCTCTGTGGCCCGCCCCGCCCCGCCCCGCCCGATGGTTACGGTGATGCACATTGCTCGTGTCAGGCGACGGCGACGACCTTTATGCCCTAGGAGGGGGGGGGGGAGAGGAAGACATGCCGTTGCCTCGAATGGAAAGCAACGGCGAGATGCCGGATATCTTTGGGCCGTGTGACCTTGACACAGGCGCGGGCCGGGCGTGGCGGCGGGGCGCGGCTGCGATATGACACCCAGGTGACGGCGTGATGGGGCTTGGAGGGGAACACGATTGTGATAAGATCCTCCCGGCCGCGCGCGGGGCGGGGCGGGGTGGGGCGGGGCGGGGCTCCATGCCGCGGGACGGACTTGGGGTGCTCCCCGCTCCGCGGCCACCTACCCTACACCACCTACACCCACACCGCGCGATCACCGCCATGGGTTCGCTCTAGACGAGCTACCCGTACTACCTACGTGGGAGGACGGAAATAGACTTACAACAACTCGTGTTAGTCATTGGCCGTGGCCTGCTAGTGGCCTCTGTACCCTCTCTGTTCCCCTTCGCGTGGGGAGACTTCGATCCTGCTGCTGCCCAGTTTCCCCGCCCCTCCAACCGTCTTCGACGGCGACGTTGTTGGAGGTGCACAGACTCTGCTCTTGTGGTTCCGGCGTTTCGGTGGAGGTAGTAAATGTGTGGTGGTGCATACTTAAACGTACATACCGCAGTACTTGGTGGCCTCGTTCGTAGGTGGTCGAGGTCGTCGAGACGGGGGAATCCCTTGAGTGAAGGGAAGCCAGTCAGACAATCCTGGTGGTGAAGTCGCCCCGCCCCGTCGACGGCGACCTTGGCAGCTGTGTACATATTTTCCCCCGCTTTGTTTTTTCCCCCCTCAATGTCATCGCGGCCAGCAGTCTGACGACCTGCCGCGGCTGATGAGGTGGCGGCGAGTAGTGGCGCCCCGCATGGCCCCGGCCTCCATCAGGCTGGCGTATAGTGTATAGTGACCTCAGCCCTCTCCAGCTCCAACCCCGCAAGGCTTCCCCTGGCGTGTCCCGCACTGCGGCGCGCTCGGCCGGCCCCCTGGCGCCAAGGGCCGCGCCCCCGCCCCCACCCCCGCGGTGCCCCGCTGCTCCCGCCCCCACCCGCGCACACCCTCACTGGCGGGCTGCCGGGGCGTTGAGTATGAGATGGCGCTTGGAGGCGTCGGACCGGCTCGGCCCGCGACGGCTATGTACACAGCCCTCCCGCGGGGTCCTTTGAAGTGGACCTCCGCTTCATTAGCAGGCTCACTCGACTTGCACGGTACGGGTCCTGCCGAGTGATGTATGCTGAGGGAGGACTTTGTAGGCACAGCGTAGGCGGGGGGCGCGGGCGCCCTCCGCGGACCTCGTGCACTGTCGCGAGGACGAACTCACTGAGTCATCATCGCGGGAGATCCGCGGGGACCTCAATTCGGGGTATACCCAGACTGGACTCGGAGTCTCCCAGAAGCTGCTGGACCATCTACCTGGGCCTTTAGGGAGGGCCCAGCCGAGGGTACTCGAGGGGGAGGGGGGGTTTCTCTACACCCCCCACCCTGAGCCAATGAGCTGCAGGGCCCCCTCCCCGCCCCCTTGCGCTACTGGGGGCTCGCGGGGCGCGGCGGGGCGGGCGGAGGGGAGGGGCGCATGGCAGCAGGCATGAGTGCGGATGGCGTCCCCCGGCCATTCCCAGGCCCAGTCCTGTCCGCTGTCGTCTCTGTACCGCACGGCGCCGTGCGGCCCGCGCAGTCTGTCGTCAGTCGATCGGTGGTGACGGTCGTCCCGTGCTCGTGCCCGTGAGCAGGTCCGGGAGTGCGTGCCCGTGGTGGTGCCAGTGCGTCGCGGCGCCCAGCTTGTGGATTAGCGTGCTCGATGACGTCTACCAACAACGCCATGCTTCGGCGCAACTCCATGTTCCAGCGTGAGCGGCGCGTGTCTGTGCGGATAGGTTGGTACTCGCACGCCGGACCGCTGCTGCTCCAGGACCTCCAGGACGCCGTCACTTGGGCCCGGAGTGGGCTCTGGCCGCCTCCCCTCGCACCCCCTGTGTTTCCCCCTGTAAATATGTGTTGCCGCCGCGAGGCAGGCCCCCCATTTTTCTTCCTCGGTGCTGGTGGTTTATAGGAATGGTCCGGCTGACGTTTGGCAACCCTCGTCACCGCCGTGCGCCTCCTTGCCCCATGTGCTCTGTACTGCTGGCATCGTGGGGGGCGGCCAGCACCGCGGCCAGACCAGGGCGAGGACTCGTTGGCAACGCGGCCAAGCTCAAGCTGCTGCCCGGGCTCGGCCAGCGGCCCACGGCGACCAGCACCAGGAGGCCACATGGTCGCGCAGCTTAATAGCGTCACCGCCGTGGCCTGAAGTCCCTATTTGTGTAGGCTGAGGGCTAAGTAGACACCGTTTCTTGTCTAACTCGTCACATTAAAGTGGATGTCTCCTATGGGAGCTGTCCGAAGTCGTGGGCAGCCCTAGCTTACTTCGCCCACTTTCGCCCTTGCTAAACCAACGGGTTGTTGGCCCCGGTATCGTGGCCACCTCTTTCTTCGCCCTTTTCGCCGTCCCCACGCTTGCTTTTGGTTGTGGCTTGGGTGGTCCATGAGTCCACCGACAGCACGGTTACTTGGCTTAAGCAATGCTCGGCCCGCCGTTACGTCGAGCTTATGCGCGGGGTAGGGGGTTGGGGGGTACTTTGTTCTCTGGGCGCCGAGGGGGGAGGGGGCTTGGTCAGCTGACGCGACAGCTGCGCCCCCTCTCCCGCTCCCTCCCCAGCCACCCAGCCAACCCCTTTACCCCTCACCTAGCAGGTCCCGCCTGGCTCCCCTCCCAACTTCGGTTTTCATCATTTAAAGCCACCTCCAAAATCAAAAACCCTTTTTTTGTTACAGGGGAGCGAGCGAACTATGTCAACAGCCCCCATGTCATTGCCATGGTGGGTCTCCCTGCTCGGGGAAAGACCTACATATCGAAAAAGTTGTCTCGTTATTTGAACTGGATTGGTATCAACACTAAAGGTATGTTTGAGAAAATAGATGGCAAGTCCTAAAAAAAATTAAAAAATGGTGATTATATTTCTAATTTTTGTGTTGATTCTAGTGTTCAACCTAGGAGAGTACCGACGACACGCAACAACTGCATACAAGAGCCATGATTTTTTCAGGCCAGACAATAAAGAGGCCATGGCAATACGGACTCAGTGTGCCATGGATGCTCTCCAGGATGTTGGACAGTGGCTTGAAGGAGGGGGAGAAGTAGCTGTATGTTCATGAAACCCCTCCCTTGATGTACATATTTTACTCTTTAATGCTCATTTAATCAACAGTATATGTTATTTATTTTCAGGTGTTTGATGCAACTAATTCAACTGCTGACCGACGACAATTGATCCACGACATAATTGTGAAGAAGATGGGCTACAAACTGTTTTTTGTTGAGTCAGTCTGTGACGATCCTAAAATCATTGAACAAAACATCATGGTGAGTCAAACTGACAATCTCTCTTTGTGGTGTTTGTTTTTGACGGGGTTTCAACCATTCGAAAATGGGACCTCTTTTTCTACACCCTAGCTTAATAACTTGTATCACCATACCCTGTGGCTGTGACATCTACCATGTACATATTCATCATCCCATAAATACCTCCACAGTACCAGTTATCTTCTATAGTCCACATCCTATTTTAAGAACATGACATGGTACTTTGTAAAGCACCTCCTGTAGCCTCTACGATTTCTAGGTGTTTGATATTTGCTTATTTGACCTGAGAGCAACATCGGGCTCTTAAACAGCTGCCTCAACCTAAGCTTTCTAATCATCCCTCTTTACCTGAGAATCCCCATTCAAAAGTCCTGTGGAGAAGTGCTCAAATATGTTTCTTGCTGTGCAGGAGGTGAAATTCAACAGTCCAGATTACAATAATAGATTGGAGACTTACGGTGAAGCTACATCAGACCGTGAAGTACGTTTTACGTTTTAGTTCCAAACCGCTCGTGTGTGTGAACATATTTTAGATAAATATTGATTTAAAGAAAACAATACTTAAACCTGTTGTCAAAT